ACTGCTGTAAAAAAACGGTCCACACCATAATGTGTGAAATTCTTTGGATTGGATTGTGGCAAAAACATTTAGTCCAATGGGAATTGAAGATTAACATTTTGGTCCCATCTAAACAGTCTAGACTCTCTTAGAACTTAATGGGCCCTATGCAAAACTCCACTACTTCCTGAGTTTAAAGGTGTAGTGGAGGATGTTCTTTTTCTGGGTGAACCATCAAAATAAGTGGTCCTCCTAACTGTCAATCATTCTGGTGATATGTTTACGTTAGGCAATCCTACGCGCTTGTCCCCGTTTTCACTTACCGGTGGTGAGTCTGACATTGTGAAAAAATTGCAAATTTTCTTTTGGAAAGTAAACTTGTATGAGCATTGCAAACAGCAACCCTTTAAAATGAGTGTGCACCAGGAGAAATGAGCTCATGCATGCTCTCGCACACGTTTAATAGGAGTTCTCTCTCGGGAGAGGGTACAGGGAAATGCATTTGCATTTTCTTTTAAATGGAGAGGGCGGGTCTTTTCAAAAATTAGCAAACATTCTCCACTATACCTTTAAGGCAGCTCTTTTGTTTCCTGTCTTTCATTACTGGATGAACTGATTAATCCAGGTGTGTCTGGCCATGGTTACTGAGGTCAAGTACAGCAGATTGCAAGGCTTATATCAGAGGATGAAAACCTGGTGATTCTCTCCTCCGGCAGGAACTGTGAAAAATGTCCATAACCGCTTCCTTAATGCAACCGCTTTTGGCATTTACTTAATCATATTTAGTTACTTTAACACAAATTTTTTTATGTTCTACCCTGCTAACATGAAACAATTGTGTTAAAATAACTAACTATGATTAAGTAAATGCAGTTGCATTTTTTTCAGTATTTGCTGCAACATTGACAAACATGAATTTCCCCTTAATAGTACAATATTGAGCTTTCTTTTCCAAAGCTTGTTGAGACCTAAAGGCAATGCAACTAGAAATGGTAAACCAAAGCCATATTAAAGCTTTTTCTGATAAGATTGAATAAAATAAACTTCATGTGTGCAAGGGCAAGAGACCCAAAACCTTTTGCTGCATATCCAACTAATTGCATTGAATGGATTTGCACAAAACTATTTGAATATCTCAACACTGAATTATTTTAATTAGTGTTGTGTGATACTTGGTAGTGAGAAATCTTTGTATCGGCAATTATTTAGGATGTAATCAGCTTCTGTGGCTAAAAGATGTCAGGAATTTTCGGGTTGATATTAGTGTAGCTCAGAAAATGTTCAATACTTCTTTCCCCTACTGTAACTGTAGTCAGAAGTTAGAGACAACAATACAAGAGCTTCAGAGTTTAGCCACATATATTATAGCCACAGACTCTAATGAAAGGCCTTATCATACAGTCACATGAAACACAGTTTTAATAAAACACAATGTACACATATGCAGTCCTATGACCATACATTAGCTGGAGCCTAATTATTCAACCTAGAATACAACAAAGCAGAGTTTCATTTTTTTCTCCTTTTATAAAGCATCAAAATCAGTAGATGAGGTCAAACGAATGTAACAGCCTACAACACTTGTATGACAGACAAAATCTTTGCTGCATGTTAGAGATATGCAATGATATAAGGAAAGAATATCTCAGAGGCAAAACTTTTCACTGAACAAAAAAAAAAGTACAAAACTTAATTAATAAATAAATCAAATATATACCATATGAAGGAAATAGCTATGAGGTGGCTAAGTTTATTATATTTTTCATTATTTTAATCTGTAGCTTGTATTACAACCACTTTTTTTATTTCTAAAACATTTAGAATGCTGAATGACTCAATACTGAAAATACAGTAATAAGGTTTTATAATTAGATCAACTATGTACAAGTCTGTCGCCATGCTAGTTGAACTAAATTTCTTGTTTTTTTTTAAGTGACTGACATAATACAGATACAGCATATAGCGGTCTGAACGTAAACAGTTTGTGCTGAGAATAAAATATTTTGCAATTATGCAGGGATCTTCTTTTAATATTACTCTGGAAAATATACATAACATAAAGGCCACAGATGGAAAAAACTCTGTTTCCATTTGGAGAGAGGGAAGGCGAGGGTAGCTTTGACATAAATATATGAACAAAAAACAGTCTCTTATTTCTAGATGCCTTTTTTTTTTACTGTCCATTAGCATCATTTGCTTCAACTGAACCTTCTCTTCTTCTTCATCCTAGAGGATTTGTCACATTCTTCCCTCTTTTACAGTTCAGCTTGCCAACTCCCTGACTCCCACTTTCTGCCTCCCTCTTCCAGTCTCTCCTGCTTCCACGGTACCTCCAGGTTCCCCTTCACCTTCTGTCACCCTGTTTAGTTCATGGAGTCGTTAATGACGTAAAATGAGTTAAATTATGTCAAGTGTGAAGGTCCAAAAGGCAAGGGATGTTGCTGGGAGCAGCTGAGTCCTCAACTGGTCACTGGAACAAAAGGAGGAAGCAGTGGGAGGCAGAGCATGTACTGGTAATGATATCAGACATATACGGCACATCATTTTTTTTGGCAGGGTGGCGGGTTTGGTGCTGGAGGGAGATGGTTGAATTGTGTCCTGGCGGGAAGGGCGGAGGAGGCTTGAGGAGGGTTGGGAAGCAAGTGGCGAGGCGGATGGGGAAGTGGTAGTTGTCAGCCGGAGTATGGGTGAAGCAGCGGTTAGCAGCTTTGCGATGGTTTCTGTGTTCACTGGGAGTTTTTTGTCCTTACTGGCTGGAGAGCGCAGAGGCCAAGTGGTCAGTGTGCTGGTTCTGGGCCCGAAACCGCAGCCTCTGCTTATTCTTATTCTTTTTTGGCTCTTTGGATCGGTGCTTTCCTGAATTACCTGTGTAAAATAAAAGAAAAATAAAAACAAGATTAATTAGACACAGCAGCCTTTAGCTCTCTTTATGCACTGAGAAGGGCTATAACCCAAAACAAGCTTTGTCTAGTTCCCAGGAAGGATACGGTGTACAGAAAGGAGAAAATTAATGTATTTTATAAAATGCCAGAGGTAGGGCAAACGAGCCAGTATTAGAGCTAAGCTCTATTAGAGCTAAGCTCTAATACTGGCTCGTCTCTCACTATAAATGAGCAGTTTCAAGAGTTATTCTTGCCAGTGTCCACTTCTTGGTTAGGAAGATTGGCAAAATGTAATTATGAGATGTGAACTACCAGACAAATAGTTGTATCATTGTAACAATGGAGACCTGGCTGCCGCACAACATCCGTAACCAATTTGAAACTTTACAGCAAAAGCATCATGTTGTGGGAATATTTTGCAAAATGATGCATGGAGAGGGAAGGATGTCAAACCTATGGGGAAGATGCATGGCATTTTTACTGGTAAAAGAAACATAGAAATAAAGCTTTAAAGATAATGACCTCAATAAAAACAAATAAATTGATCTCACAATGGAGAAATTAACTTTCTGCATTTAAGTCATTCCCTTTGGGTAGCAGTGGGCTGCAACTGTGCAGCACCCGCGGGTTACGGGTCTTGCTCAGAGACATGGAGGGTTTTGAACTCACAAATTCAGGATTGCAGGCTCTATGCTCTCACCACTAGGCCGTTACTGCCCCTAGACTGTCGACTAGAGATCATCAAATGTACTTAATAGAATTGTCGAGAAAAAAAAATACAATAAAAAATCAACTGAAAATCTGTAGCAAAACAAGTTCATAAATGTATGCCTAACCTCATACAGTATGATACACATACTTCTTTACTTTTTTTAGAGTCCTGCTTAGACAAATATCGGCACCCAGTTTAAAAGATGAAGAGTTCCACTTTCCCTTTAGTTATTTATTAAGTTTAATCTTTTCTTTGTAGGTCCCTGGAAAAGTTTAAAAGAATAATCTCTTGTTAATAAAACTGTATCAATTATTACTTGATGCAGATAAAATTGGTGGTTCCAATTATTTAATTAGACTAACTTTGGATTTTTTTAGGAACTACCAGCAAATTGTGATGTATCATACCGACTACATTGGGTCTTAGTTTGCCTCCCCTCTGAGAAGAAAACTTTAGATTTAAAGAAATGACTGTTAAGCCTCACAGATTTGAGTTCTACAGAAACAGACAAGGAAGATTTAAGTGTGGTGCGTTGCATAAACCTTTTTCAAGTTGGAAAAGTCCCACTGCCCAAGGGTAATCCATCCCAGGTTTCATTGGAAAGGGCAAAGCACCCTGGGAACCGTTTGCTTGTGTGTTGGAGGTTATGCACCCACGGCTCTCTCTGGGACAGCAAAAACTTTGGCTACTGGACCACAAGGCAACAATTTGGCTGCCAAGGCCACAAATAAGATAACGAGGTGTGTGTGGGGAGATGGACGTGTGCATGGAGGGGGGTGGGTTGGTGGGTAGCGAGTGTGAGGGAATTTGAGGGAAAAGAAAGAAAACCTAATGCCGCAGGGAAAGAAGTGCAAGGCTTGGATGATGAGACGGTATCTGGATTTTGATCTGGAACACAAAGAAACATGCCACGCTATGGTTCGCCGAAGGGGGAAGAACAGGAAAGCGCTTAGGAACTAAAGTTCTAACATGCAAACCCCATTCTGGGCCTTATTACTGCACTTGTTCAAGCTGCAGTATTTCTCACACAAAATGTAGGTAACGGTGTGTGAAATGTGACATTATCTTTAATTGCCTCCCGACATGTGCTAACATCATGCTTACCCAATAGGCCCACTCCTACAGAAGACCTGTTTCTCATTCTCAGTGCAGCACCATGAGCTACATTTAAAAAAATTCACTCTTTAAACTGATACACATGAGAAAGCGAGATATTGCTTTGCAAATAGGGTCTCCAAGCTATTTCCTGCAATTAATCTAATCTTGCTAATCTTGTTTTTTGTATACAGTATGTGTGTGTGTATACTGTTAATCTGTACTGTGGCAGTAAATTTTCCTGCACGCAGTTCTAGGAAAAAAATTCCTTTGAAAACCATCTTTTCATATCTCCTCCATCACTCTCATGCCCTTAAACTTAAAAAAAAAAAAATAAAAGTTAGAGAACTTCGTACACTTGTTGATTCCACTTCAGATTTTCTGTGTGAATTACTGTACAATAATGTTTACTGTAGCCTGTCTGAAGCTCTAAGGCATTCTGGCCTATAGGTCCATTTTCCTAATTGCTCCATGGTGGGGACATTTCATCCAAAACAGCGTTGCTAGGTGCCAAATAAACATGGCTTTCCATGCAATCAGCTTGACAAGAATTACACTTGATGGCAATAATGTGCATGTTGCAGCATTAAAATCCCTCCAACAGGTTCAGTCCATGCGGGCCATTCTTTGGATGCAAGGCTTCATTTGAGAAAGAAAAGGAAAAGGTCTGCATTTACCGTAAACGATAACAACACCCAGAATACAGTATGTGACGGGAAATCTGAAAGAGGTTTTCCAAGTTCTTCAGGAACTGTCTGGAGTTCTTATATCCAAAGCAATCTATACACAATACATATTCAGACACAAACTGGGGTTTAACATTTAGGTTCACAGCTGACAAGCAAGTTTTAAACTTGAAAATGTATTTTTTTTCTAATTGTGAGCACAACATACCAAGAACTGCTGGATCACAATAATATAACATTTGGCAATGGACACTGGTGTTTAGTGTTGTTTGCTAATTTCAATGTTAGAACTCAAAGGAAGTGTGGCAACTGCACTGTCTACAGAAATCGGATACATCTCTGCAGTTTGTTCAGGATCTAAGAGAGACCAAGGCTTAAGGCAGACAATACAAGGTATAAGTAGAATACAGATTTGTTGCTGTATTGAGGCTGTATTTGGATATATGGGCAGTATTTTAGAAAGTTGTAAGAAACTACATTCCTGATGATATCAAGAGAATGCTGTTTTTGTAAGGCTTCCCACAGTTTCAATGCAAATTTCTAAAATGCAATAGAACTGCTTGATTTAAATCCTAAGTTCCACAAAAATCAATCAAATCAGCGACAGCAGGTCAGAGTTTACAAAAACAGGGGTTGGAAACTGACCACAAAATGATGGTCAGTACATTACTGGATAAAACAAAAACTCTGTATTCTTCTCTCCTGGTTTAAACACAGTAGTTTATCATTTTTTGGCCTTTACTGAAGTCTTAGCATTAAAAACAATTTCATTTCAATACTTGTTTTAATGCATTTTCAGGACTAACTTATCAGAATTCTTTGTGGTATGAACAGTACGATCTGAAATCTAACAATGCCCTTAGAAATATATGAAGTAATATTTGTTTTTTCTTTATCTGACCTACAAAATCCATAGTATCAAATAAAAGATAAGTTAAATGCCTATTTAATGTTAATATGGTTTCCTTCAAAGCTGCATCAGCTCTTGTTAGTACATTCCAAAAAGCTAGTGATCAACCAGTTTTACCAAGCATGCTTTGATATTTAACAATTATATTAAAACCTATCTATCTCTTAGAACTGAAACTACTGCAGAGAAGATCGACATGAAAATGTAGATATAAAACTTTTAAAACTAACACCAATGTCACTAAGAGCCATCTGGAGCAGTCGTGGAGGTGATGGTATGGCCCACATAGAGCTCAGATCTTAACATTACTACATCTGTCTGCGATTAGACGAGGATGCAGAAGGATCTGAGGAAGCCTACATCCACTAAAGATCTGTGGTTAGCTCTTTAAGATCTCTAAAAAAAACTTACCAGCTTACAGATTAAACTGTGTGTAATTGTACATAGCAGGACTGGTAAATATTAAAGTTAAGGCCAATCAAACAAAACATGGATCTCAGGTTAACTGATAACAAAAGTCAACGTTGATTTAAAAAGAGTTTTGTTTTATATCGTTGCCACATTTGTCTAAGCCTGAAAAAATAAAAATAAAAAACCCCAAATCTTACTGTTTAAACATTTTACCAGAGAGTTTCGTAACTTGAAATTGTGTTTACAGCCTCCATCGGTGCTTCTTTAGAGGCCTCTACACACTGTAAAGTCCTTGCTCCACAGTTTTTTTCTATACTTGCACTAAACTCCCCCGGCTTGGAGATTTATACCTGCTTCTTATTGCACTTATTCAGAAGATGTTGACAAGTTTCGACTTTTATGAGCCAACACATCATCAGTAGAGGCCGATGTCTTCCAATTATATTCCTCCCTCAACAGTCTTGTTATTATAAATCAAGCTTAAGGTCAGGCTCCAGCAAATTAACTGATGTCACTTCATAAACTCACCTCAGCAGAATCATATTTCATGACCCACTCTCAGTGTTGACAGCTAGAGGGCAACCATTCCCCACATAAACCCCTTCCTCTTGCATCAGATACAGTTTTGGTTAGATTGTCCATCATATCCACCCTGAAAACTCCCATTTAGCCTTTCCTCAGGGCACCACACACTCTGAACACTGAGCTTTCATCATCTCATATTTACAACCGATGTAATCACTTAAGCTGATTACCAGAGTTCATGGGAGAAACAGTTTAATTTCCCTCAATTGCTTTCAAAATCAAACACAAATTCATAAATTGTGAGTTTGCAGAGATAATTTTGTCTTGGAAGAAGCAGTGGGTTTCAAATCTTTGTCTGTCTTTGTTTTGCACTGTTACTGGCACTGTAGTGGATGGAATGAAAGGACTGCGGCTTTTATAAATAAATCACAATCCGTCTTTACAGTTTCTTTCCGCTCTGCCTGCGTTTACTATCACTCCAACAAACCACAGTTTTACCAATGTTTGGTCGTCCTCCGTAGATCTTTCCTTTGCCTGCTAGAAGTTTGTCTGATTTGGAAATGAAAAATAAATCAAAGAGGTAAACAAAAACCTCCGGAGCAAATCAAAATGTTGTTCTTTTTTAATTTCTGAATCAGAGCAAA